ATATATATATATATATATATATATATATATATATATATATATAAAAGACTATGCTTAGGAACAGTGATCTTCATGATGTTTGGGCAGAACCGATCATTTCTTTATGGTGGTTTGTTATATTCTGGATTTTTTGTTGAGCATTTTTGTTTTGGGCAATTTATACCATTTTATCAATTCTTTATGGACACGTATTCCTCATTTATTTTCTTCATCGTTTTTCCGCCCAATCAGTGTTCGATTGCTATTATTGTTTTCCAATCTTTATTTCACCGAAATTCCTTTTGTATCTCTGTTTCTATCTATCTATCTTTATCTTCACTTTCTTCCTTTTCTGTTTCCTCATCTAATTACAGGTAAAATCCTTCGACTGTTCTCTGTTTTTTTTTACTTTTTTTTGTTTGGTTCTTCCGATTGTTTTTTAGTTTCTTTTCCTATGTCTGGCCATCGTAAGCGGGGGTATGTTGATGTTGGGTCCTCTTCTGTTGGGGCTGATGTTGGTTCCTCTTCGGATGTCGTTGTTGCACCTGTTGTTCGTCGTAGTCGACAATCTCAACGAATGCGGTCCGTTGGTGTTCTTCCCGATTATGTCGACTGTGGTTACTATGACTGCATTTGCGAATTTTCTGGCGCCTATTTCTGGTTTGTTGAAAGGTGCCTGAAGCTATCCACCGCTCATCACCCGAGATATAGTCATTGTTGTAAATCTGGTGCTGTTGTCCTTCCTTATCCTTCTAGATTACTAACTAAATTTGTTGCCCTTTTTGATAACGTTCGTTTCTTGAGGGATATTAGAGCTTATAATAGCATGTTCTCTATAACATCCTTTGGAGCGAATGTAGATGAGGATATAAATGATAATCATGGTGCCAATGTGTTTAAGGTTTCAGGTCAGATTAGTCATAAAATTGGGTCTTTGCCCTGATGTTATCAAGGGGCCTAGGTTTCTTCAGCTATATTTGTTTGACACCGAGAATGAGGTCAGCAACAGGTTTAGGGCCTTTGACAATCCCAGAAAAAGGGATTTGGATGAGGGTATAGTTACGTTTCAGGTTGCCTTTTTGAAGGACAACAACGAATATGTGCGCACATTCAAGACTGCAAAACAACTTGCTGATGAGATGAACGTGGCATCATATGTTTGCTCGTTTATTTAACAATGTTCCTGACCGTAGATATGACCTACCTTCTCCTGGATCCTTGGGTTGCATAGTCACTGGTGATGATACTAATTGTACAAATTATGATATTGTAGTCCACTCCAATTCGGGTCGTCCGCAACGTATCAGTAAGCTTCATCCTAGCTATATGCCCCTGCAATATCCTATTTTGTTTCCATATGGTGAAGAGGGCCGGTCTCCGTGTTTGAAGTTAGGTAATCGGATTGCTGCTGATGCAAGGAATCTTACTTTTAATATGTATTATGCATATCAGATTCATGTTCGTCGACACATATGGTCTACCATTTTGAATGCATCTCGACTCTTCCAGCAATATTTGATAGATGCATATACTTGTATTGAGGAGGGACGACTGGAATATATCGCCACGCATCAAGACAACCTTCCTTCCGAATACGTAGGCGGTCTATATGATGCACTTTTAAAGGGTGACAGGGAAGCTCAGTCTGTTGGAAAACGCATCTTCTTACCAACATCTTTTATGGGTGGTCCTCGCTACATGTATAGTCATTATCAGGATGCACTTGCCATATATAGAGTATATGGGAATCCACATTATTTCATAACATTCACGTGCAATGTGAAATGGCCAGAAATAACACGTTATATGGATGTGCATGGTCAGGGAGATCCTCACAGCAGGGCAGATATCATTGCTAGAGTTTTTAAGATAAAGGTTCAGGCGTTAATCAAATTTTTAAAGGAAGACATGACTTTTGGTGACATTGACGCATGTATGTTATTTTGTCACTGTCACTTTACTTCTTATTGTCATTGTTATAATTTTATTTATTCTATACATTACATGTTTCTACAACTCTGTTTGTGATAAATACTTTATGCAATTTGTTTTCACATTGAAATTGTTATGTATCAGCAGTATTGTTTATGTGTCCCTTGAATATGACCCTTTTGATCTTTTTAGAAAGGAAGGTGCCTCCATCATTGCAGGACATGCCAACATCATATATAATTAACTTATGGTCATACATATCAACAAAAAATAACCTATCTTTTGTCGTTTCCAAATATTATGTCGTTCAATTCTATTTTACTTCTTATTGTCATTGTTGTGATTTTACAATTTCTTAAATATTTTATGCAATTGTTTTCACATCATTTATTTTTTTCCTTTTTTTATTTTGTTTTTATTTTTTTTTCTTATCTGTTTTATTTATTATTATTTTTTTAGGTCACTATACATATATGAAACTGTTATGTATGAGCAGTATTGTTTATTTGACATTATATTCTGTTTCTTTTATTTGTTTTTTTGCAGAAAAGTAAAATTATGTGGTAATTTCTTATATAATATGTTCATTTCTTCATGCAGATTTGTATACCATAGAGTTCCAGAAAAGATGTCTCCCCCACTGTCACACGTTGATTTCGGTTAAGAGTGCATATAGGATCAAGAATCCAGACGATGTGGATACATATATTACTGTTGAGCTACCAGATCCAGTGATGGAACCTCGGTTGTATGAAACGATAACAACGTGTATGATTCACGGTCCGTGTGGTCCACTAAATGAAAAGGATCCGTGTATGAAAGACGGTAAATGTAACAAACATTTCCCAAAGCCGTTTTTTGATTCTACACTCTTCGATACTGAGGGTTACGTGCGCTACAAACATGGTCCGTCCGCCCGACACACAACACCACGTGGGGTCCTCATAGACAACATATATGTTGTCCCTTATAATTAAAGACTTTGTTCCCAATTTCAAGCTCACATTAATGTCGAATATTGTGGCTGGAACATGATGATTAAGTACCTATTCAAACCCCAACTGTTGGCTGACAGATCCCCGCACTGTCAATCATCAAAACAACACCCAATTAACAATTGGGTGCCAATGCATAACCATAAACCCATACTTGGGGTAAAAGACTATTTTACCCCAAACCTAGGTAGGTCCAAAACCAAGGCCCATACTCAAACTCTGGAGGCCAAAAGCCAAATAATCAACCAAGGCCCAAATATGGCCTAATTTTTCCAATTGGGCCCAAACCCCCTTACATGGGCCTTACCCTAAAGTCCATCCAAATATCCTAGTCCATAAACTTGTTCTCAGATGGCCTAACAAGAATCCAAACACCTAAGCCCAAAAGAAAGGCCCAACTCGAAGCCTAAATATGATTAGGGTTTTCACATAAAATGACGATTAGGGTTAAGTAAAAACACTTAACCCATGGATTAAATCCATCACTCTACTAGGTAAATCATACAATGTGGTTGGGCATAATTCATAATTCCAATCCAACGGTCCAAAACGCGGGTCCCAGCAAATGTCACAGGGTTCAAAGTTCAGTTTTTAGGTCAATTAGGGTTTCACTAGGCTGGGCACCACCCACTGCCACCTCGGGCAGTGGTGGTCGACGGCGGCAGCCACCATCTTGCGGCGGTGGTGGTGGTTTTCGAGTCAATATCCGACATCAAGCAACCAATAGATCAATCATTTAAAAAATATACACCCATACAATGATACACTCACACAGCCACCACCTCACGACAGCTAGTGGTGGCAGAAAATGGTATCAAGGCGGCACACATACGACATACACAACTAGCACAACAACACACACTCATAAACGCGATATGAATCCACAACCCTCGGCCCTAACTAAGCGGCTGACGACACCGGAGTCCACAGAAATGGCGACCAAGGCCGACAGCGGCAGCAACGCTATCCACGACACCACACCCACAGAGAAGAACAATGGAAAGGAGAGGTGGGGTTGCGGTTAGCTTATTGAGAGCTTCCAGTCGTTCACGACCCACACATCGACGTCCACGACGTAACCTTCGGTGGTTCTCCCCGTTGTTCACGATGTCACCGACAGCAGGGGCTGTTGTGGAGGCGTTCAACGGAAAGATAGCAGGAGGTAGGGCGGCGATCGAACTCAGCATTGCAGGCGGCGGCTGAGAAGGCTCCATGATGGTGGCGGCCGGAGAACAATATGTTAGGGTTAGGGTTTGCATCCTCCAAACGAGAGAGAATGAGCGTCGGTTTAATCATGTGCCTTCTTCCAAACTTAAGTCCCTTTTTCCAAGTTCGGTCCCTCCCCATAAGATATTTTTCAAATTAACTTCGAAACTTACTAAACACCCCATGTCTTCTGAATTTCTTTGCAAAACCACCCCGAAAATTATACTTTAACCCCAAATATCCAAAATTTATGACATTTAACTCCTCGAAGCCAACACCTTGCTAAATTATTATTGATTTTTGGCTACAATAGCATAAAATAAAATATAATTTACATCTCGGGGTTTAGGGTTTATTATTTAATTATTTAATTTCAAACGGAATGTTACATATCATGTCCGACAGCTATGGCCATCTTTGTTGATCTTTCCCTATACGTACTCCTGATGTCTCTGTATAGCTCCTCTTGAATGACAAACTTAAAGTTTGTCTTGATTTTCTCATCCTGTCTTTTATCCCAATCATAAAGTGTCTATAAAAATAAAAAAACCATAAGTTAAAAATGTAAATTTAAAATGAATGATGATAAGATATACAAATAATTAATCCATGATTAAATTGAAAATACTCAACTTAATATAATACCTTGAATTTCACCCAAATTTGTTCGATCACTTCTTTGGGGATTTCTTCGAAGCTTATCCAAGGACCACCTATATATTGATCTATCAGCCGCCTAATCTCCCACACCACATAAAATCTCCCAAACCTACAATATTGAAATAGTCCGGTAAGTATAAATATAACATAAAAACTCAACATAAATTTAATTGTAAACCTTAAAATATCTAAAACATACTTTTTCCCAATGCAAGTGATAAATGTCATCTGAGAGGTACCATAAGAAGGTACGTGTACGTCTGTTCTAATGGAACCGTGTGGCATAGCGTGACCATCCCCCTCATTGATATCCCCATCACTGTAAAGTCCGCCATCTTGGTTCATCTATTGTAATAACCGAAGATAACCACCCACTGGATCTACATGAACAGGATCAACGTGATCCCCAATGGCTAACATCCTAATATCAACATCAGTCGACGGTGTCACTATACTATGTCCGAGAATAGTAGGAATGAAGTCATGCGATATAGATATGCCAACTCCATTTAATATAGGTACTCTACCGCCTCCATGACAAGTAGCAGGAGAATCATGTAGTGCCAGTCTAGTGCCTCCACGACTAGTAGGAGGCGACTCATGTAATGTAGATCTGGAGCCTCCACGGCTAGTAGGAGTGGAATCATGTGATGGAGCTCCAGCGTCACCACGACTAGGAGCAGACTCATATGGTGCATGTATACGGTATGCATGATGAGAAGTGTAATCATGTGATGTCTGTTTGCCCCCAGAACGTTGTTTACTACCTCCTGCTGATGATGCATGATTGCCCTTAGAACCCTGACTGCTAGGTTTACGGACGACTCTACGGTTCGCCATCAGAATGTGCCCTGTGTTTCACAAAACAACAACGGTCAGATAAATCATATAAAATATTAAGATTAATAAAATAATAATGATCATATCATATGAACAATCACAAGAATTTCTTGACATAATATTGAAATTCTGGATTAATAATCTTATTTCAGACTCTCATCGTGTACATCCATTCTCTATTTGGCACCATTACCTATATACATAGTTCTAAGCTATTTCAAATATTAGAATTTAACAAATTAACAAATTGTGTTGAAATTTATGAGGTGGTTAACTTAATTTGTCCCATTTTTTTTGTTTTATTACCTATTTGTGTTGAAATTTACGCTAGAAATGGAATGTAGATGCCAAAAATTCAACAAAATAATCAACACATGATTCATACATGATTGTGAAAATGAACACGTACAATTTGATACATCAAATAGGTACATTCAGATAACATCCACGCATAGTGATACATTCAGATACATATACACATTCTGATACATAAATAGTTACTGATACATTTTGATAAATAATTACAAGTTGATACATATAGATGAAACAATTTGTATAAATAAGATGGTGAAGATAGTGATACATAGTAGATACAGGAAGAATTTCGATTCATATATACATACTCATTTATAAATTAGTTAGGTGAGCGGCGGAGGTGGTATCAAGAAACTGACCTGAAATCAACAGAGGTGGAAGCAAGTGGTGGTCTGGAAGTAACCGGCGACGGCAACCGAGACAGCGTCGATGTGTAGAGGCTCCAATGGTAGTGTGTCGCAGCAACAGTGGGGAGAAACACCAGCAACGGAGACAACGCCGACGTGAGGCGGCTGTGGTGGTGGTGTATTGCAGAAACGGTTGTGTGGTGGGGCAAATCACCGGTGGCTAGAGGTGGTATCAACAGACCTGAAATCAACGGAGGTGGAAGCAAGTGGTGGTGTGGAAGTAACCAGCGACGGCAACCGAGACAGCGTGGGCATGAAGAAGCTCTGATGGCTGTGTGTCACAGCAACAGTGCGGAGAAACTCCGGCAATGGAGACAACGCCGGCATGAAGTGGCTATGATGGTGGTGTATCGCAGCAACGGTTGTGTGGTGGGGCAAATCGCCGGTGGCTAGAGGTGGTTTTGGGAGACTTCGTTCCTTTTTTTAATCCAAATGTAAAACCTTCTATGTTAAAATGAGAAAGGGTAAGTATTTGGATTTTATAGGAATTGGATCCGAACTTTCCTATAAATATCCGACGGGAAGCCCACAGGCATTAAAACCCATTTCACATTTAATATATTTTGGGGGAAGGCACGGAAAAGCAAAAAAACAAAAGTTGTCAATTCTGAAAAGGTTTTCAATTCCCCCTATAATGTTTCCTACCAAATTGTAACGAAATTGTAATTTAAATATTAATTAAAATTTCGTCGGTATTTTGTAAGAAAATAAGGAAAATACTGACACTTTTCCGACAGAATGGACTTGAGGCCATTCTTATCGGCTGCCCTCACCTTGAATCTCTAGACGTTCGTATGTGTTCTAATCTTAATCTCGAGGACAATTTGGGAAAATTGTGTACGGAATGGATCAACGATTTTATGTGCCCGAATGACTCATCAGAAAACTGCAGATATCATCTCCTAAGTTATGAATTTTATCATGAATTACATGTGTTTTTACAGGAGTGGAAGTCTGGTGTTCGATCAACTTTTATATGGTGACGGAAGATGAAGATAATGATTAAAGATACATTTGTAATTATTTTGGTGTGTTTGGTTGTGGAAGTCTGTTCTAATTCTCTATCTTTAATTTTGTGTTCTTGAATTGTTTTAGCATGCAATGGGGACATTGCATCATTTATGTGTGGGGTAGGGGTCGAATATAGGAATACTAGCTTACTCATAAATTAAAATTTTGAAAAATGACTAGGATTTAAAAATTATTAGAAATATTTGAAACAATAATCTAAAATTGAATCTAGTGAAAAAAAATTGTTGTGTTGAGATCTAGGTTGCTAGCGTTGTGTGGGATGATCAGATGCGAGTTTTAATGTTTATTTGAGCCAATATATTTTATAGTGTATTTGTAGCTTCTCTATCCTAGTGAAACCATTGAACAAAAACACGACCCTGCTTAGTTAGAGGGACGCAATATGTTTAGCATCGTGTACCATAAATGTATCCAGGAGAGCTTATGTAGTCATTGCATATTAGACTAATATCTTTAACCGATAAGGGTTGAAGTTAAGTTCCTTTACTTAAGCATATGTTTTTTTTTTATGATTTTTAGTAGTTTGAGTGAAAAAAGTGAGAAAATAAAAAAAATGAAAAAAAGAAGAGAAAATAAAAGAAAAAAAAGTTGCAAAGTTTGAAAGAGTTTACAAAGATATGAAGACGAAGAAATGTCATCATCAAAAATTCAAAGGCAAAAGTTGTTAAGTTATTTATTGTATCTTTTTATTTTCTAGGTTATTTTCCATATGTATGCTTCGGGGTTTAACCAAAAATACATTGAAGTTAAGAAAGTTTTCTGGGGATGGATTCAGAGGGATGCTTAAAATGAGTGTTGCTCCAAAGAAGTGGGCAAGTGTCTATGAAGATTGTGAGTATTTAGGATTGGGGAGGTTCTTAGGAAAAATTAGACACAAATACATGCATTGTGGTCTTGGAGTAATGGAGAGGCTCAAAATGGATTGTCTTGCGCGATGTTGGTAGCTAAAGTCTTGATATGATAATAATAAAATCAGTTTTGCTTCGGGGAAAACAAAAGTCAAGTGTGTGGTATTTTGATGTGTGTTTATTTAGTTATATATTTCACACATTATATTTATATTTCATGCTAAATTTTGTGTTATTTAGAACTAAAATATGCTTAATACGCTTTGAAATGTCCAATTACAGGTAAAATGGGAGCTGGAATGCAAAAGGAGGAGAAAAGAACTAAAAAGACGCAAAAAGGATGTTGCTGACAGCTTCACCCCTCGTCAGTGTTTTAGCCATGTCTCATGACTCGAAACTCCGATTGACGAGATTCAAAATGTTTTGAAACCTAGACACAATTTCCAACGATTTTCGTGTTTTAAGAAAATGTTGATTCCCAACGAACACGCGGTGTTAATCACAAACACACCATGGTGAATGGAATCTTTGCGATTCTTGACGCTGACTTAGGGATTCAGAACTAACGGAAGTGCTCTTTAATCTTGAAGTAAAATTCGTTTTCTTTTCTTGTTTAATTGTTTGATTTATTGTTATTTTATTTAAGTTCTTCTAATCTTGCAAAATCAGTAAAAACCCCCCAATTTACTTGTTTTATTTAGTTTAGCTATTAGTAGTTATTTTATTAAATAGAATTCCGTTCTCTGTTATCGACCCAACTTACCAAGCTATTATATAATCCGACTAGGTACACTGCCTATATAGGTGCATAGTTAGTTTAATTAGTTAGGTTTATAAATTTAAAACTAATCGGTACATTTGTGCACATCATGGATCATGGTGGGTGTGGGGATGTGAGAGGCTGGGTGGGTGTATTTATATTTAAAAAAAATAGAAATGATAATGTTTCTAAAATTTTCATTTAACTTTCAATTTAAAAATCAGAAAAAAACTTTATGAAAATTTTTAGAGATAATTTTTTTATTAATGGCAATCTAATCTACACTTGAATCTACCTATCTCCCAACGGAAGTTGAACCCTCAACATCAAAGATGTAGAATAACACTTGATACCTCTAAGCTAAAGACCATTTGATTGATAATACCGAAAAAATTCTTTTAAAATTTTTATTTTAAAAAAATAAAGGATTTTTCCACAACCAAATACACCAAAATAATTACAAATGTATCTTCAATCGTTATATTCATCTTCCGTCACCATATAAAAGTTGATCGAACACCAGACTTCCACTCCTTTAAAAACACATGTAATTCATGATAAAATTCATAACTTAGGAGATGATATCTGCAGTTTTCCAATGAGTCATCCGCGCTCATAAAATCTTTGATCCGTTCCGTATACTATTTTCCCAAATTTCCCTCGAGATTAAGATTAGAACACATACGAACGTCTAGAGATACAAGGTGAGTGCAGCCGATAAGAATGACCTCGAGTCCACCATTTGTCATATTACTACCACAAAGATCCAAATGGCATAACCTGGGCATGTAATTTGCAACCGCAAGGGCATGCTTGTCATTGTGTGGCCATTGGAAAAATCTTACTAAATATTTAGCTACTAAATATTTCCTACAAACAAATTTTGTACGAAAAATCCTTCTAATATCCTACAAACCTGCAACAAAAATGCAATCCAAAAAAATTCCAACAAATTACACACGAGAGTAAATACCCTAAAGATTCTGTCGGAAAAGTATCGGTATTTTAGAAAATACCGACGGAACTTTAATTAATATTTAAAATTACAATTTCGTTGCAATTTGGTACGAAACATTATAGTGGGAATTAAAAACCTTTTGACAATTGACAACTTTTGTTTTTTTGCTTTTCCCTTCGCGCCTTCCCCCCAAAATATATAAAATGTGAAATGGGTTTTATTTCCTTTGGGCTTCCGTCGGATATTTGTAGGAAAGTTCCGACCCCATTCCTACAAAATCCAAATATTTACCCTTTCTCATTTTAACCTAGCAGGTTTTACATTTGGATGAAAAAAAAGGAACGACGATTCTCCCAATCCATGGTCGAAGTCTCCCAAAACCACCTCTAGCCAACGACGATTTGCCCTACCGCACAACTGTTGCTATAATACACCACCATCACAGCCGCTTCATGCCGGCGTTGTCTCCATTGTCGGCGTTTCTCCCCACTGTTGCTGCGACACACGGCCATTGGAGCTTCTTCACGCCGACGTTGTCTCGGTTGCCGTCACCGGTAGAGATGCACAAACCCAGGATCCGATCCGATCCGATCCAGTCAACAATCCGATCCGAATCCGGTCAAAATCTGATCCGAATCTGGTCAACAATCCGAATCCGATTTGAAACCGGTTTGATCCGG